CTAGTCAACAGAATTTTGAATTGTATAACTAACAATTGTGAGAATTTCTAGCTGAGAGTTTTATTTTCTACCTTTGGGGGCTTTTACCATCGTTAATTTTCCCTCAGCCTGAAGAAGGGTGCGTGTGCCTGAAAGCCTACAAAGAAAGATAATTTTTTTGTGATTTCTTAGTTGGTCTAATAAAAGGTGTCATCTCTGAACCAAGAGTTTTAGAGTTGTGAGCGTTGCATTCCAAGAAGCAATTTGAATTCATGTAATTGTACTGTTACTGTGCTCACTTCATCCGACCAGGGTGAAATGACTTAGCAAACCCTGTAAACTTCAAATAGTTGCACTGAATTAGTCTTAATTTACAGATCATTAATAGTTTTTTTTTAAATCCATACAAGACACACATTTGAAAGTTTTATGAAGATATTCATGGCCAATTTGATAATAGAAAAGAAGTGAAATTTATCTAGTGAAATAATCACTATGGGGTTATTCAATAAGCTCTACAAACGGGTCCTTATATTGCACTGCTGCCCACAGATACCTTGGAGGTGACAAACAGGTTTTCTTTCTGCAACTTGTCCCTCAAGCATCTCCTTAAAAGCTCATAAGCATGCACATGTATCCTACATGTTTGCAGGTAAAAACTGGATAAGATCATACCTACCTCTGTGCTCAGATCCTAGTGCTGATTTCTAATTGCCCCTAAGAATTACTAAAGCATTTTTAACAGGATGATGAATGGGAAAGGAGTAAGTGGTAGACTGAAATTCTATTAGAGGTGTCATGAATAATGGGAATGGCAAGGGAGGACTGGGACATGCAACTTCGGGACATGCGACTTCAGTGCATCCACATGCTGCAAAGTGAGTGAAGTTGAGGGATGGGCCATGGCTTAACCTATATATCTAATTTTATCACTAGCAGAGCTTGCCAACTCAAGAGGTATCCATCCCTAGGGCCATAGTATCATAGAAGAAGTACCTCTGAAGGTCACCTTGTCTATGCCTCTGCTCAAGGTAGGACCATTCCTGTCTAATCTATTCAACTAAACATGTGTCTAACCTGCACATGTGTAAGGGAGATGGATGCAGGTGATAGGTGATACAGGAGTTTAGAAAGCCACATGCACCTGAATATTCAGGGGGAGAGTCTGCCATGCAGACATGCCCAGTATTGCCATAGCTACCTGTACTTTAAGCTCAGTATCTGAAGTAGGCCTTAAGGTTTGTGGTGGGGCCATGCTCCTGCACGTTGCTGCTACTCTACTTCTTTGAGAGAGCTCTTGAGGGGACTGACCTCAATAATTCAATTAAGCAAGGGGGGCAGTTTTTCTGTTCATCTCCAAGATCACTTACCTCAGGGGAGGACTTGCTTCACCACCCCACCTGGTATTTGGAGTCCAGGTCCCTCTCCAGCAGCCACTGCCAGGTGTTTGAAGCTGCCTGACAGTCCCACAGTGCAGTCCAACGTCAAAGAGGGCCAAAATGAGACCTATTTTTACTGCTGAACAGAGCCCAAAGACTGAACCAAGGACTCAGGGGGTAAAACACGAGTGGTTTAATTCACTGCATCACTTAGACCCTAAGGCTGGGTACAGACGTTCAAAAAGCTGCCCAAGGCAGAACTGATCTAGGTTACCCAGTTTTCTATAAGTGGAATAGTTTAGATCAGTAGCAAACAAAACACACATTTGCCCTTTGGTGGGGTGGGCAAACCTTAAACCAAGTTCTGCCATTTTTAAACCAGTCTATGTGTGCCGAACTTCTGTTCTGTTACAGGTATAGACCAGTTTCCAATCACTTATACTGGTAAAAGTGTAACTTCCGTACCTGGCCTAAGGGTTGAAATTGTTGAGATATATGCTACTCCATTAAGGCAATGTGTATGCTCAGAGTGCTTACAAAGCTGTTATGAAATCTGATTCTGCAATCTTAAATCTTTCTTCTATTACAGTACGTTACCTTTTAGCAGCCCACTGGAAATGTGTAAACAAACGAGGTACAACTGTAGACAGTTTAAATATTTTACAGCTCACTGACTTCCATATGAGAAGGGATTTACAGTAACCTAAGTGTTTAGACTCCTGCTCCAATAATCCAATGCAGATAAAAATGCAAAACACATCACACTGGAAAGCATGGGAAACCTGACAAGAGTGGAACAACTCAAGATTGCTGTCAGGATGGAAAAAATAAAAGGCAAAGAGAACTGCTTCCCTGCCAACTCAGACAGACACACGCACATTCAAACAGAAAAAAATGTAAAACTTGAACATCTCTGCAGCCCTTTAATGATGTTTTTATAATCACCAGGCAAGACATCTGTCTGGTATCATCCATGGCAATTTACAATAGCTAAGGAGGTGGCTCACAGTGATCCTTCCACCTGAGCATTTCAAGCCAGATTTAAGGTAGTACTGAGGAGCAGCATTTGCTGTTTCTATATTGTTCCTAGCAAGTGCCTTGCTTGAGGCCACACAGGAAACTTGTAGCTTAGTTTAGGACTAGACCCAGAACTCTGGACTCCCAACCACCCACTTTAACAACTATGCTACACTATTTTACAAGGTCACAATCTGTCACGCACCAGTAATTTCTGACCAATTTTTACATGGTCTTGAGTTCCCTTGAGGGTCTGTGACCCCCTGAACATTTTGGGTCGCTGCTTTTTTGCATAAGTAGAAGCAATGATCCTGCCTTAATCTGCTCCGGCCTGTGTTATACCCAGCTGCCATTCACCATGGCTCTTAGTCCTTCCCACCTTGACAAAGGATGGTCTGCTAAGTAAGATCCTAGCAGGGGTCTTGAGAGATCTGGGTCCAGACCCTGACCCTACCACTGAGTCCTTGTGTGACCTTGGACAAATTTCTTAACCAGTCTGAATCTCTGTTTCCCCCCCTATAAAGTGGGATAAAAAATACTGCCTTTTCCCCATCCTTCACCTCATTCATTTATGAAGTATGTAAGATTTCAATAGGCAGGGACCATCAGTTATTGTGGGCAGCACCTTGTTTGGTGCAGTCCTCATTTTGGTTGGGGCCAGTAATACAGCCATAAGAAAAATAATTTTTGCTGGTGCCAAAGTTGAGTTTAAAATAGAAATAGGAAAGGTCAGGGGAAAGA